TGCTGCAAAAGATTGATTTTACTTTTAAGCTGGGAGAGTCTACCTTTGGGATTTGAAAGAGTTAGAAAAGCCAGCTTTTCCCAATTTAGAATCATTTCCCATTGTGGTGCTGCTGCTGGTTTGCTTCCCTCTTGGTTAGAATTGGACCTCTCAGCTGCTACACCCGGTTATTCATGGGGGATTTGATGCCATGAGTCTTGTGCAACATCTTCCTTATTTATTGATTTACTTGCCATGTTTGTGGACACAACTGGTCCTGGATTATTAGGTGATATAGGACAAACCTGATCAGGATGATGTATGTCATGCTTAGGGTCTCCCCATGGAGATGATTTGAGTGAGTTTTGTGTACAGTTGTCCAGGAGTCTAAAAAGTCTTTGGAAGTTCATTTTGTTAGAAAAGTCTGTGGTGTAACTTAATTATATTAGTGAAGTTAATTCCTGTAATAGAGAGTTAAGATCATCAGGAGAGATCTTTCTCTTGGTTCTGCTACCTTCACAGATGTGTTTGGTGGACATCTGGGAAAGTTCCTTCTCTGTTGCTGCTCCCAGAGTTTGGAACTCCCTCACACAGGAGGCTAGGCTGTCCCCATCTTTGTTGTCCTTCTGCAAGCGGGCAAAGACCTTTCTCTTCAGGCAAGCATTCCCTGAGTGCTGCCTGCCTGAATGATGTTTATAAATGGATTGTTCAACCTTACTCTTTTGAATGTTTTTTGGTATTGCTTATGTTTTTTGGCATGGCATTTGTTCGATCCATTCTAGTACAGTATTTGTATACTCACTATTGTTAGCTTAGATAGGAGGGGTACAAATATGTACCAGATAGGTGGGGTACAAATAAAATAAAATAAATAAATAAATATTGTCTTTTAATTATTTAAACTACCTTCAAATGAGAAAGGCAGGGCAAAATGTTTTAAATAAATAAATAATCTTTTAAGTCCTACCTTTTTCTATTTTAATATGGTTTCTGGTTGGTTGGTTGGTTGGTTGGTTGGCTGGCTGGTTGGTTTTGCACTCCTGACCCATGTCACTACAGCCAGGTGTTCAGCTCAATGAGCTGTCTAGTGATGATATGAATAAATATGACCACAACAACTGATGCAATGAAGTGGCTGTAGTGACATGGGTCAGGAGTGTAATTCTCCTCTGTGCTTTGTAGAAGATCCAGCTTGTGTGGCCATGGTCAAGCAGTATGAAGGTGCCCCCAGAAGGGAAAAGGGGAACAGTGAATCAGAAAATCCTGGAAAGGGTCACCATAAATTGGATTTCACTTGATGGCATGTAATTATTATTAATTACTGTATACTGTATTCTTATCAAATTTAGACCAGTGATTAAAATATTTGTAACACAAATCAGAATTGCCAAATCCTAAACCTCAGCTTGTTGAAGTGATTCTAAGCTTCTAATCTGGATTCAAAGCCACTGCAGTATTCATTTGAGGTTCACTCCTCACCACTTGCAGAATTGTGGTGGCCATGCATGTGTACAAAGATTAAAGTGTGTGCATACATCATTTCTGAACAGCAGGACAGTGTGTCGTTAACCAGACTATTCACTACACAATAGCTGTTAAAGTATTCCTGCATTTTGAGGAACTTCATGCCTTTATTGTGTATCATTAATCTAACAGACAATCCATTATTCACTTTGTTTTTAAATCATCTAGCCAGCTGTAGCAAAAGGTTAAATTGCAGCTATCTTGATGGTCTCTCTCAAAACAAAATTTAAGTGCATTTTCCCTGTCATGTTCTACATCCAGATTTACTGTGAAATTAAATGTTCTATCATTTTCATTTTTCTCCTTAGAGCTGCTTTCCTCCTGTCCCATCTTCAGACATCAGAATTTTGAAAATTAAATAAAAATTATTGCATTGAATGAGTTCTGGTGTATTTTCTGACTCCATTGGTATACTGAAGAATACCAGTAGGGTTAGTGTTGTGGCCATGGTTAATGTTACAGCTTGACTTAAATCTATGCATCTTCTATTTCCTGATGGTATAAAAACTCTAGTGACCCACACACACCCTGGGGCCAACCTACTAACAGTAAGAGTATGTAACTTCTTTTCCTTGACCATGGTTGACTGAAACATGGTATAGGATTTTTGTTTGCTTGTTCACTGTCACATTGCATTAAATTGACTGGGACAAGAAGCTATCCCAATAGCAAAATACAATAGATTAGTTGGAACATTATTTGTCTCAGCCATTTCTACCCCATTGAAACAGACAGAACTGTACATGGCTAGTGGGTGAAATTTGGTGATATTTTTACATCTAGGTAGCAATGTCATAGCATGCCTACCTGGTATGTCTAGTTCTGTGTAGATTCAGCAACAAAATTTGGCTCTGGAGGAGGAAAATATCATGTCCTACTGCACAAGGATTAGACATTCACAGCTCAGTGCTTGATAAACTATTGCACAGATAGTACACCCAGGTTAAGGAGAACATTCATCCATGTGTACACCAAACACTAGTGATCCTTGGAATGAAAATTGAGGTCTTAGATATGAGAGCACCCTTTTTCTTTTGTGAAATGTTGAAGGTCATGAGCTCTGTGAGTTTCAGAGATTAAGGGAATAGTCCCACAAATGAAATTTCGCCCATATCAAGATCTTCTAGACTACACTTCTTAGATTTCCAGGGGTACAAGTGAACATTTGATAACAGACATGGTGGAAAGTCTGTTAAATGTAATATAGCTCGTCATTCAACACTGGATAAATGTTGTGGGGAGAAGGTGGGGCAGTTCTCCAGGGCTCATTTCTGTATATTGATATATGAATGAAACTGGCTTAAAAGTAAAACTGGCCCTAGCATTAAGTAGAGTGAAATAGCTGTCCACCTCACTCTGCTTAAGTCCTGTGTACTTTAAATGGAGAAGGAACAGTTTGTTGATCTACCTTGGGCAGCAGAAAGTCTTGGGCTGCACCTTCAAATAAGCATTCTTGTATTTCCCAATGATTTACTAATTGGGCCTAAGACTTTTACACAGTACATTCTAAGAATAATCTTTATTGGCAGCAAATGCACATTTTAAGACTCTACCTTTGTATAGCACATTGTGCCTTTCCTAGTCTATGTCTGAGGTATTGGGTTGAGGGTCTGTCTTTGAAGCCTACTCAGGATCGTCAGTGGATTTTGCCCTTGAAACCTCCCTCACTGTTCAGATTTTTAGTGATCTAATAAATTATCACCTAATGTTGCACTTGTGTAATTTTAAGGACCACATGGCTTTTTCTTAATTTTTTTAAAATGTAGTGATCCCAAGAAGCCCTGATTCAGCCTCAGACTTCTGATATTAGATGAGTGGATTTCACTGTTCTCCAGAGAGCAGCAGAGGGTTGATGAATGATACCAGATGAGCAAGAAGGCTATGTGACAGCTGGAGATACATATGAATGCTTGGTTCAAGTGAGCTATCCTGACAGCTTCTGATGATGGGTGGCGTAAAATCTGCTAAATAAATACTAGATGAGGATTACTGTGTCACAGAACTGTCCACCTATTTTTATGTATTGATTGCATGAACAAATGGCCATGCAGCATGTGTACAACATTCTAGAAGTCAGCTTGATACCCGAGAGAAGGTAAAGGTAAAGGTAAAGGTTCCCCTTGACAATTTTTGTCCAGTCGTGTTCGACTCTAGGGGGCGGTGCTCATCCCCGTTTCCAAGCCATAGAGCCAGCGTTTTTGTCCAAAGACAGTCTTCTGTGGTCACATGGCCAGTGCGACTTAGACACGGAACGCTGTTACCTTCCCACCAAGGTGGTCCCAGCATGTGTACAACATTCTAGAAGTCAGCTGTACCAAGGACTTGTATTGATACCCGAGAGAACACAATGAAAATACAGACACGATGTTTCACATACAGTGCCATTGAAGCAGCAAACCACTCCAGTTTTCCTGTGTCATCTATTTAAAGCATTTTATCTCCGAAGAAGCCAAGAGTGTACCCCATATTGACAAAGAAGTAAATTTTCTAAACTCCCTTGTAAACTACAGATCTGTGGTCTACTTCATGTGAACCAATGCAACAAGAAGATTATTAAACTCCTTTGGAGCAGTTGGCATGGAGGCTGCAAGACTTCCATGTAGGGAAACACTAGTAAGTCAGGTATGAAATAAGAGGTGTTGAGGGTTCCATGTGCTATTTAAAGCCACATCCACAGCAACTATAATATGCTCTACTCCTTGTGCTCTGGCACCTTCTGTTGCTTTTGAGCATGTAACTGATGATTAACTTTGTTCTTGCCCAAGGGGGAAAAAATCCATTTGTTTATTAAATTAGCAAGTCATTAGGAGTGGATTAATATAGATACCTGTTGTAAATACGGCTGGGGGTGAGACTAAGAGCTTGGATATTTATGTGTTTAGTATTGAATGATCCTGGAAGGAGGAAAGAAGAGAACTGAGACAAAATACTCACAGGGAAAAATACTCTTTCAGTGGGGCCAGGAAGACTTCTCTAAGGGAGAAATTTGTTTACAATAAAAGGGCTGTGCAGAATATGAAGAGATGGTACACAATCAGCCCTTCTTGGCTGTGATACATATGGGAAACGTTAGCTTAAACGCACAGATGGATGTGTGCGGCTTATGATGGTTCTTTTACCTAATAAGATTTCTACTACTGCACCAAGGCTTTTGTTTCCCAAAAACTAATCCTCTTACATACCTCAGATATGTCCTCTCTCTTGCCTGGGATATTAATCCGATTGTGCTGTGCTCAGTCTATATGCTTTCACTTCACATTTATTCATGCTGTTGCACAACATTGCTGGTTTCCAATAAGTGTTTGCAGGTGGTCACCTGACCAGGAATGCTTGTCATAATCTCCTGAAGATCGCCTGCTAAAAATACTTCTTCCTTAATCTCCTTTCACGGGCAAGAAAGCAAAATAAGGATGTGTGAGGACAGCGTGCCAGACAGATGAGTGTGCAAGTGCTATGTTATGTGCACAGATATGCACTGTCTCTTCCTCCCTCCTTCTAGCTTACTTTCTTAACTGGCTTGCTTTCCAAGTGCCAAAGCCATGCCATCTTTTCCCATTTTAAATAGTTTGGGGAAGCTGTGTGGATCAGGCAAAAGCAAGAGGTTGGTGACCGAGCGGATCAAGTACAGAAATTCTGTCAGAAGAATGTCTGTTATAGAGGATGGTGATATTGCAGAGGTCTTGTACCTCATCCCTAAGCAGTCTGTGATGAAACACCTGCCATATCTGAATCCAGATGACTACTATTTGTGTGAATGGTTATCTGATGGTCCAGAAGATTCAGGTAAGTAAAAAAACCTGGACCTGGTGTAGATCAGACTATATATGGTCTGATTAAGTCAGTAGAAGTGTCTTGTTGAAAATAACAGAGGGTCTAAATGTGCTAAATGATATGCAGATTGGGTGACTTTACATTATGAGCCTTTTAAAAGGATTGTTAAATTTTCGGGGATAGCATTGGTGCAGCCATTGTCACAGTGTAGTTATTTCAGATGCAGGATGCAATCATACTACACTGTTATGGTATAGATGTTACATTAAAGGAAAGCACAGATTAAGTTCAACAGGTGGCAGAGTTTTGAATTTTCAGTGTGGTAGCCTTGTGAGATGTTCATGTGGCTTAAACGTGTAGTGTTCCTCTCCTCTGCTTATGGTTTTAGACTGCAGAGTAGAATTGAGGCATTGATCTGGTAAACTGGGAAACAGAGTTCTTAAACAGGTCCCTCATGGTCTATCCAGCTGCCTTGGGTTGTTTTTAAGGAGAAAGGTGGGACATAAACAAACAAACAAACAAACAAACAAACAAACAAACAAACAAACACCTGATTTTAACATATTTGCCCCAAATATTTTCTGTATGATTACGTGGCTGATCCAAGTAGAAATCCTTCCTTTTGATTTTCAAATTATCCATTTGTAGAGAAAGGAAGATCTGTCAGATCTCTCCCACATTTAAATTATTTTAATCTCACCACCTTCTTTCCCCAGATATGAAGAAATCAGTGGAAATTTGTAAATTCTTCAAAAATGAACTGAAATGAGAGTCTCTTCATTTGCACTCACCAAATTCAGTAGATATACTCTTCCATTGTGGAGAGGACTATTCTGTACCTGCCCACCATTACTTGTTTTAAAACCTGGGAGCCTTTGAGTAAAAAGAGGTGGCAGCCTAATTTACCAGTAATATCAGGGAATATAGATTCAGACTTCTAAGAACTAAGCATTCAATACTCACTGCCTGGGTGGATGCATCCATCAGATTCGGTTTCTCACAAATCTTCAGTTTTAAGTCATCTCCACCCCCAATATGAAGAAATTTGTAACCGTTTGTAAAATTCAAAGGTTTCTTTAGCTACTAAAAAAATGGTGGTCTCAAGTAGCACGAAAACCTTTCATTCCCAAAAAGCAGCACTTGGAAACTATTGAACAGTAACCTAGTGCTGAAATGTTCAGCAAAGGCAAGCGGTTTTTCCCCCTTACTGTAGTTTTTTCCTTGAGTTTGTGCTCCATCTGCCATTATAAAAGGAGGCAGTGGGATACCTGGTGCAGGATTCTTTGCTGTTCCTGAATGGGTGACATTTAAGTTACTAATCTTTTTCCTAGCAAGATGATAAAGGATTTTGCAAATGCAGTCATTGTCCCTCTTTTCCAATAGAAAAAATAAATTCAAAAGGGAAAGGATACCTGTCAAGGAACTCAAAAAGAATTAGTAGACGACAGAGGATTAGAGCCCATCTTGTCTGTTTTTGCCCTGTTGGAGATTTCCAAGCAACCTGGGATTTTCATCAAAAATCATTGGTGTTGATTTCAAAGACAGCTGCAGAAAGTGTTTCAGCTTCTATCATTGTGACCTTATGCAATGTTTTAATATGGAATACATCCCTGCCATATCTGACCATGTTTAACTATTACTGATCAGTGGGAGACAGTCAAGTACATTTTTAAGTAGAACTTGAATGACAATTTTTTGGATCACGGCTCTCAGAATCTGTCCACCAACATGGTCATATTGTTTAAGTTATATTCTTGGCTCTCTTATTGAAATCAGTATGGTTAAAAAACAAACAAAACAAACCCTTAAATTTTGCTGGATTCTTAACTGTGGGAAAGATCTAACTCACTCTTTTAAGCCACTGTTATTTTGTATAATTGGTTAATTAGAAGTTTGCAACTGAAATTATGAAGGAAAAATTTTAATCGAAATTCAGAATTAAAGTTACTTCAATTTTGTAAAACTTGGGTGTCTCTTATGTGAAATCTAAACCTTACCTATCTCTTTCAAGCCTTACCTATGTTTTCCCACTATCATCTTCACATAATCCCCTGCTCACTGTAAGTTTTCCCATCACCTTTATTCTTCCCTACTTCCATGGAACTCCCATACCCTCACTGCAGCTACGCACTTCCATCTTCTATTTACCCCCACTTTCTCTTCACTTCTTCTAATTATTTTCTAATAATCAGAGATTTTTCCCCCAATGGAAAATGTACATTTATTTCTCTCATGAGTAGCTGCACTGAATTTCTGTATTCCATAACTATCCCTCCCTTTCCATTTTCACCCAATGTTTGTGAATATTTCATGACAGTATAAGCAGAAGCCAAGAAAGATGGCAGAGGTGACAACCACTTTTTAAACTGTTCTAGTTACATGACGTGACAACTTTATATTGGTTATGATCCGGTGTGTATTGCTGGATATAGGAATAATCACAAAACTCACACGTAAATTTAAACCATTTTATTTAACAAATATGAACATAGTGTTGGATTCAGTGGTGGTCACATTTAAAGTAAACCTATTGAACTGCCTATGGCTTAAAATAATCTTGAATGAGCAAATTAAGTTATTTTGCTTTCTATCCAAGTATAATTTTCCGGATTGACAAAGTTTCACTTTGTTAAAGCAGAAGTTTATGACTGAATCTATACCCAACAAAGTGAAGAAATTTAGATCACATATTAGTCAATGCCCTCTCTCAAAACACACCCACATGGTTACACCTTTTTTGTAGTTAATTTGCATCTCAAGTAAACATGAACGATAAGAAGCACATGTTAATTCCCTGGATGTGGGGATGAACACTTTACTAACGTAGGACTAGGTCTGTTGAACACAAGGAAATCTCTCTCCCCAGCAAATGGATCAAGTGCGGCGGAACATTAAAGATTATATAACTGTGAATAAGACTGTCTTGCAAACCTGTTGTTTATAATGTTGATATGGTCAAAGGCTATGTTTCATTTCAACTTTTATACACCACTAATGATATAGCATTTACTTCAGATGGTTGTTGAGGAAGGGTTCATCAATATGTTTTTAATGAGGATGAGAGTTGATCTGTGGTCTAAATTTTCTTACTTAATCATCTTTGGACTGCAGAGCTGGAAAGGGACCCTAGGGATCATCAAGTCCAGCCCCGTCAAGGAAGGCACAGTGAGGAATTGACATCAAGTCCAGCCCCTGTCAAGGAAGGCACAGTGAGGAATTGACGTCCCAATCTCTGGCTTTGCAGCCAAAGACCCTAAACCACTGAGCTGTCCAGCAGTTGGTGAGCTCAGCTTCAACCATAACAAGAGATTTTTCCTCCTGCAATTTTCCCTGTTTTTTTAAAGTATGTGTGTATGAGAGTCTACTTTTACTGAACTACTTAAGGGATTTTTAAAAAGCACTATATAAATAAACAAAGGATTAGCAGAAATAAAACTCCTTGGGCTCACCTACTTCTCCCACGTATTTGAAGGAATCTCACACACTTAACAGCCACTGTTTATTGTCCACTGTATATAAAAATGCAGGTAAAGATACTAGCCTTTCAGAAGGTTGTAAAACAGAACAGCAACAGTGAGTAGACACTTGTAAGAGCAACAAATAATTAAAAGATTGTCAAAAATAAAAATAAAACAAAATAAAAGGACAATCTCTACTACTAGTTTTTACAAGGAAGATAACATGGAAACTTCTTGTCAACCATAACAATGTGGTGGTTAACACCACAGTAGAACTGAATGTGGATTCAGTGTTAATCCTTTGCAACAAGATGGTTGGATAGCTCAGTGAGTTAATCATCTGGCTGCAGAGCCAGAAGTTGGGAGTTTGATTTCCTGTTGTGTCTCCTATGAATAGAACTGGCTTGTGTGGCCTTGAGCAAGCCTCACAATCCCAGGATGCCCCCAGAAGAATGAAGTGGTAAACCATTTCTGAGTATTATTTGTCTAGAAAACTGTGAGAAGGGTTGCCATAAGTCAGAATTGTCTTGACAGCACACAATTATTTTTAATTGCAGTGGGAGGGGAAAAAACTTAACTGATGTATATCAAAAGCTGCTTTAGACATAAGAAACGGATTGTTCCTTTGTGGCTACTCCCCAAGCTGCTGGCAAACACTTTTTTCTGCAGGAAGGCTTTTGGGAATTAAACAGGTAGTTTAGCAAGGTGCTTTTAATGAGCTTTTAATGCAGATGGGGGGTCATAATATTTTTACTTTTATGTTTTGCTTTTAAATTTTAAAAGTATTTTAGTTCATTTGCTGATTTAATATGCGTGTGATTGAGTTTTAATGTTGCAACTTGCTGAATTTTTACCCGTATCTGTTTTTAACCATTTTGCAAAAGATCTTGAGTCACTGTATTGAGCAGGCTAATTAATAAACCAACAGACAAGTAATAGCATCATATGCCAGATTTCAAACCACATAATTATCTTTTGCTGGAAGAAATTTCGGTTCGGCATTTTATCTTCCAATTGTTATTGCAGTGAAGAATTTGCCAAATGCAGGTAGGGGAAATGTGTGAATCTTCGGATGTTGGTGGACTACAAGTCCCATGAGACTTCACGGCCAGTAATGAGAGGTCATGGGAATTGCAGTACCCAGTCATATTTTCCCTATATCTGACTTAGTGCAATTTAAACTAATTTATTCAGCTATTCAGAGTTGGACAAATTACTCCTCTGCTAGTATGGGCAATTTGGCATTTTTAAAAAAAAAAAAACCCATCGCACAGCAGGTTTTGTTCTTCCTCCATGATAGTAGAAAAGCATTTGTTTTGTAAAATAAACAGTGCGGCTATCATGAGGCCAATGCTGGCCAGAGCCCAGCAGACTAATGCAAACCTCCCATTTGCGGTTCATTGCTATGTTGACCTAGAGTTAAAGGGAAGCTCTGTTTGGATGACAATATTTTCAATGTTGCTGATCAAGTGCATATTTTTAATGGATGCAAAGTTTTGCTGAGGCATGTGGCACACAGGTCTGTTTCCGATTAGGGCAGAAATAGCTGGAATG